GCAGGTGGCATAGCTCCCTCTTCTGTACAGCAATCCATCCTTGTCCCCTCCTTCCCCTGCTAGCATGAGGGGAAGAAGAAATGTTGCAGGGTGGAGCCAAAAGCTCTTCAACACTGGATCCTCCCTTGGTGGGTGCAGAGCCCACACCAGCAGTGTAAACTAGAGCCCATGGTCATGAATTGCAGTGGAGTCAGAAAGCCAAGGATAAGGAAGTCGCGAGTCGCCTTAGGCAGCCATCACTCTACACTATATCTTAACAGAGAATCAAGGCTTTAGTTTTTGTGATAAGTTGTTTTACAGAATGATCACAGGACTGTAGGTGAGGGAGGGGGCGATACCTACAGACCCTTTCGTAAACAACTGAATAGAGGGGGCACGTACATAAGGAAGCATCTTGTATTGTTCTCTGAATGCAGGGAGACACAAGCAAGGCCTGACCACCTGTGACAGAAAACTCTGCAGCTGGAGTTCCCTCTAGAAGAATGTTTTAGTTCTGGCTTCTGAGGTTTTTGGTTATAAAGGTAGGGAGGAAAACCTGCAGTCCCATCCTGAACCTTCTCCACTGCTGAGTGAGCCTAGGATTTTACCTGGCTCCAGTCCATAATGCCCTCCTGTACACACACACAAACCTCCCAGTGCTCCATTAGCAAATCAGCAGGAGCCAGAAGGCCCAACCTAATTTCTCTAATTGAAGCAGATTCCAGCTGCCCTCATCTTTAGTACAAAGCCTCTCAGTTCTCAACTGAAGCTGGCATATTGGAAGCTGAAACCTATCATCCTCACAAGCCACTCCTTTTGAAGTTAAGGGCAGTGGTGGGCCACCTGGGATATACTTTGTCCACCCCATCTCTACAGATCACAGCAATAGTATAATAAGGAATATGCTAATCATGCCAGGGGCTCCTCTTTAAATGAGAACAAAAGATTAAAAGCAGGAACCTCACTGCTTAGGACATTTAAAATTTGGCTGGGTAGAAATCTAGGAAGTGTGCAATGTGGAAAAATCCTGCCTTGGCCCTGGTAGATAGACTGGAGGAGTTAATTGGGCTTTTCCATCTCTGACTTGTATGAGTGTCATAGTTAATCACTTCTACAGCACCACAAGTAACACAGAACTTTACAGACACAGAACCTGCTTCTGCTTCCACTGAAGTCTGTAGTCAGGCTTCCAAGATCAGGCCCCTCACTAAGGCATGTTTCTGCATGGAAGAGTTTACAGTCCAAACTTTGTGACATTATGAGGAGGTGGTAACACTAGTTCCCTTGTCTTGCATGTAGGGACAGATAGCCGAGAAAAGAAGGGATGAAGTGGTGTTTCCCAGCTGCCCTATACTGCAGGTGGTTTTCTCATCTTTTCCTTTCCTGTTTCTGTGTTGCGTGGCTGGAGGGTAGGTTTCTTGGGGGTTGGATTCAGTCTGGCTGTATTCCAGTCCTATCTAGAGTACTCCCTCCCCCCATATGCTTTCCATTAACTTCGTTTCGTCTGCTGAATAAGGAAAGAATAACTCTCCCAACAGCCCCAGCCCAGAGCCCCTGAGCCAAGGGAGTTCATCAGTCAGACTGGTTTCTCCTGATCCTAGAATAGGCCTCTTAATGGGCCAGGAGGGGATTGTATTTGCCTTTCAGCTAACGGCTGCCCTGAGCCAGAAGTGGAGTCAAATTACTGTGTCAGGGAATCTCAGCTATTCTGAGAGTAGGAGCAAGTGAGCTGCTGACTCAGGAGGCTTCCTAGTATTTTCAGACAGAGTCCAGTCCTGTCAAAGCAAACTGAACCACTTGTCTTGCTTTCTGAAGGCCCCAGGACTGGGGTTAGGAAAGATCAGAGGCCTGCTGGAATATGCTAGGGATGGAACTGGAATGGGATTCCTCATCAGGCCCCTGCTTTCATGCTCTATTACAGTTCAACGGAGCTTTTTTTTGCATGAAAGCAGGGGTCTGATGAGGAATCCCATTTGCTCTTTTCTACCTGCTTCTCTCTAAGGATCTCAAAGGACCATACAACACTATATAACATTCATAACAAATGAGAGCAGAGTCACTGCCATTTGCATAATTTACTGAAGGGAAGCTGAAGGGCAGAGAAGGGTAGTGACTTACCCAGGCCCTCACAAAACACCCATGTATTGGGTGTAGACATTTCAGGCTCCCAATGCCCTGCCTTTCTCTAAGACTAGCTTTTCCCCATTGCATAGAGGTGGGTGGGGGATCTCTTCTCTCTGGAACATTGGTCCTTTGGGTTTCATGAAACTAGAATGGGGCACTGGGTATGTTATGGTGGGATCTGAATAGATGCCAGTCTGATTGTGAAGTCTTCTTCATTATCCCAGTCAGTATCTGCCAACTTGACTGCCACAGCCTCAGCCTGCTCAGCGCATACTTTACATCACTGGAGTCCACCTGCTAAGATCATCTCCCCCTCCTTGCTCTGAGCATACTGCTCCCATCTCTAAATGCCTCCACTGTGTACCTTGTCATCCCAACCCCACTGTCTCCATAGTAAGTTTAATCTTCATGTAAAGGGCATTCACAGATCTGCTCCTCACTGCCCATATACAGTTGTTCTTATGAAGTGCTCCCTCACTCCATCTGTTCTGCCAGCTAAGGCAACTTTGACTATCTAGTTAGTTTCTTCTCCCACAACCATCTTTGTGCTTCCTTCTATGCTCTCTCCTTTTATAGTGCTCTTTAAGGCCACTGGTCTCTCCTTCAGGTGCATCTTCATAACTCAGTTTTACACTGGAATAACCAACCTCCCATGTGGCTAAGCAGAGGAGCAGTTTGGGATAGTTGATGCTTCTGTAACAAAAATGATCCACTTTCTTCTAGCTGTTGACTGAGATGGTTGGTCCAGCCATTCAGCTTAGGACCCAAGTAGGAGGGAGGGGGAGGGAAGGGTTGCAAAGATGGCTTAAAGGCTTCTTTGGATGCTCTTAACCTCAAGGGCAGATGAGAGCTAGTTTGGCTCTAGGACAGTTTTAAGTTACCCCATCTTGGAATAGCCAAGGGTCACTGGGGCTCTGGCTCTGCCCCTTTGCATCTTAACACTGGAGGCACATAGATGAGATGCTTATGTCAGCTCAGCATCACATACGCATTCCAATCAGGCCCTTTTGGGTAGCTTTATATCCAGGCCAGAGGGCATATGCTTAGGTCCAAGGCTCTGCCCGCTTAATTATATGTCTCTGGCACATACACGCACCCTTTATTTGCTGCTCATTTCAGGTTTTGAGATTTTTGGGGCAGGAATCATGCCTTCCTGTGTGTAGGCAGTGCCTAGCACAATGTGGGTGTGATGGTAAAAATATTAAAACAGTAATAATAACAGCGACAACTAATAAGTAGTGGTTATGGTGAGCACAGGGGAGGGGCTGAGGAGACATGGGCAGGGGTTGGACACATTCTGTCTTGGAAAACTGTAAAAATAACTAGTGCTGGTGACTCTACTAACTTTCCACGTACCTTTTTTAAGTTGTCTCTTTGTGTTGGGATTAGAATTAAATTCCCCTCTGCAGACTTGATTCACTTCTGAGCAATAACAACAAGAAACCCAGACATGGATTTGCCTTTTTTCCAGAAGCTCTTGAGTCAGAGGAGGCAAAACTTATTTTACTTTGATGGCTTGGCTGGTGTTTGGGCTGGGTTAATGTAGTAGGAGTGCAAAGGCAGAGCTCCCCATCAGCTAGAAACAGGGAGCACCCCCAACTCTCCTCTCCTCTCCTCTTTCAAAGCTCCTTTTTCTCTGCTTGGTGAAGTGAGGGCTTACCTAGCAGCAGGCTGGGAGGTAGGAGCAGCTCAAGAAGTTGGTGTCTGGGTGGGGAGATTTTGAGATGGAGAGTGCAGACAGAAGTTATGTTTGTTGTATGATCAGCCCCTTGAAAGCACTGTACAGCTGTGCCCTGAGAGAAGTACATAACTGCAGAGCACTTTAGAAGTGCCTGATCATGGGACAAATTGACTCTCACTAAATGAGGGTTCAGATGAAGGTGTTCCAAAGCAGAGTGCCTTCATTAACTTCTGTTTGTCCCTGCCTGGGAGCAGGGCTGGGCTGATACAGCCTATCCCCACCCCACTGCTGTTTTCAGGATGGGATGAGAGGAAGGGAGCAGAGGGAGCTCCATCTGGGGTTTGCCCGGCCTGTGCTGGAGGCTGGGGTGGGTGGATTGGAACCCACCACCTTGAGGGGGACTCTGATCCACCTGCCCCATTCTCCATCCAGTGCAGGCTGGGTAAACCCCAGAGAGAGAACCGTCCCCTTCCTCCTCCCTCCCATCCTGAAGACAGAACTAGAGCTGGGAGGAGGGGTTGGGGCTAGGGGAGAGAGGCTGCAAACATGCAGCCTCTCTTCCATGGATTGGGTCCAGAAATGGAGCTCAATTTTCCTTCCCCCTATCCCCTGACCAAACAGTGAATGTCTGCTGGGTGGTGGTGGGGTCCACTGTTACTCATGGCACTTTTTGTGAAACATCATGGGTTACATCAGGGACTTGCATATCTGTCAGCACCCTGTTTGTGACTCTGTGGAGCAGTATCACTGTGTGGTACAGAAGGGGCTTCCAACTGCGAAACCCTGAGGTACCCCTTCCTGTTCGCCTGAAGTGTTCCCTAGCACCTAAAAGATGAGGGGAAAAAAGGGAAAAGCCAGCTTGCCCACCATTCCTTCCTGCCAGGAAACTGGCTCATCTTCCCTTAACCACAAGCCAGAGTAAAAGCAATTGCCTTGCCAGTTTCTTTGTCCTTCTTGGCTGTGTACGGTGGTGTGAGATGGAAAGCAAGAGCACAGTGCTCCCCAGCAACACAGGTACACACAGCAGTTCCCCCTCACCCATTTCTCCCCCACTCTGTGCACAGGTAAAAGCTTGCAGTAACACATGAGCTGTGTGCAGTGACACATCTATGCTTTACTCTTTCCTACAACACACTACCATTTCCCAGGAACATGCCCACACTTACACACACAAACATGCATCCACACAAGTATGCTATACATAGAAACACATGTATGCAAACAGAGATACATAATTCTGTATAAGCATAAAACATCAAGACCTGTGACAATATCAATGCAGTTGGAGAGTTTCCTCTCCTATATTTATTTTACTGGTGCAATGGTGGCAGAGTGCGTGCTTTGGTCCCCTTCTGACTCCTGTAAGAAATCCTCGTAGGAGTCTGACTCAGCTACAACTGCCAAAAACACAACAGAGATGACTCTTCAGAATGAGCAGCTAGGACTTTTTTTCATTTTCACTGCTAACTTTTACTTCCTTACGAAGTAAACACAACCCCTCTGCCTGCACTGTCTTTTTCTCCATAAATGCTCAATGAGGGGGTGGAGCAGAGCCAATTACAGCTCACATGATGGAAGAGAGACACTGGGAAATTGAGGGAGGCCACTGGTAACAGGTACTGAATCTGTTAGGAAGACTTTGGCCTTCTAAACAGGTAGTTTTCTTTGCTATTCCTTTTTTAAAATTCCATTCATCGCAAGTTTCCTTTCTCTAACCATCTACCATAGATGTAGGCCCCACAGTGAGGCAGGGGGCACTCCCTCTTCTGGTTTTATGGCTACAGTTGACTAAAATTCCTCCCAGAATAGCTCTTCATAATTATACTGAGACAGGTAAAAAAAGAGGAAATGCTGTTGGTCTCATTTCTTTTAGAAGGGTAGTAGGGGGAGGCTTCAGAAGTGGTTTAAAGCAAGAAGTATTTACCCGAGAGGCCAGAAGAAATGTAAAGACAAACACACACTTTCTTCCCCAGCTGAGAAATGGGTGCCCCAGGCTCTCTGCTGCTGGTTCCTTCCCTTCTGAACCACAGCAAATTGTTGCAGAGCAAGAGGAGGTGCTGCCCCTTGGCAGATGAGACAGTATTTTTTTTGTCCTGTTTCAGACAAAATCAACTGCGTTTCAAACCTGGGATTGCAACAGCCATGACCCTGGGTGAAGGGAAATCTGATCCCCCGAACGGCTGTGTTGGGGATGGATGGGGAGGGCTGCACTCACACATTGCCCTGGTTTGTTTTGGAGCCTCTGATAAGCAGCAGGGCTCTTTTTTTCTTGTTGGAACAGATTTCCACAGCCTGAAGGAAAGAATTAGAAAAAACTGGTTCTGGAACAGGAACAAGTATGTTCTAAATTACAGAAAAGGATGTTAAAGGTTCAAGTAATCAAGATCTGACTCCGCCTGTGTCTATCTCCACCCTCCCCCCAGAGAAAAGCCTGCACTGTGGCTTTTCCACTATGCGGCAGAACAATGTGGTGGTGGGACTAAGCTGCCCAGCAAGCCATGGGTGTGTGTAGGGGGGTGTTTCTGCGAAGGAACAGCCCTGCAAAGTTCAAGCTCAGCCTTCCAGCCTGTGCTGTGTCTCACTGGCAGCCCTGGGACCCCATGCGCCCTCTTTGGCTCACAAGCTTCTTGTCTGGCTGGATATTTAAGGGGTTTAAAAAGCCTTTTCTTAGTGTACAGTTTGCTTTGAGAGGTGTGTGTGTGCATGCACACGCGCATGTGTGTACATGCATGCTTTGTGGGGGGAAGGAACTTTTCCTTTTAGCTGCACAGCTCCATTCCTGGAGGGTGCTGAGGCTGGACTTGTGAAAGGAGGGTGCCCTCTGCTGGGTAGGACTGCAGGGAAAATCACCAATGTAACTTGTTCCTGTGCCAACCTCTGTAGGACCTACTGCATGGATTGTGTCAGGACTGGGGAGGGAAATGTTGGGGTGGAGAAGAGCTGTTGGAGTACACTGTACTTGGGCTCTGCTCAGTTGGTGGTGGATCCTTATGGCAGAAAAAATTGTAGAAGACCCTTTCTAGGTTATATAACCTTGCATCAGGGCTAAGTGGAGAATCTGGGAGGTAGAACTGGCTCTTGAATGGTCCCTTAAGCTGTGCTGCTGTGTGTAACCTTTGTATAGTAGAGCAGCTGACTGCTAGTTGTTCAGTCAGTCACTGAGTCTGCAAATACTAAAGGCAACAGTTGAAAACTGGAACCTAACATGTCCAGCTTCTCCCAGTGTCAGGGTCAGGTATTGAACCTAAAAGTCCTAATTCTTCCCAGGAATTTACTGCAAATCCTTACCTCTTTGGAAAGTTTTGTCCCCCTAATCTGTCTAAGCCTGTGATTTTTTTTATGATTTGGAAGATTTTTGAAGTCACTTCAGTATTGTAGTTAGATAAGGAATGAGTCATCCTTACAGGAAGAAAAGAACAGCTGTAACTTATATTTTCAAAAGCAGAGTTGTCCATTATGGCCTTGACCTTTTCAGGTATCTTGTGAAGACCATTAGCATCAATCACTAGGTCCGAGTACTCTGCTGTGTGCTGGAAAAATTCAAATTTGTCCTTGCAAACTTTCACTCCATAGTCTTTCAGTCTTTGTAATGTCACATTTATATATTCATCTTGAGAGAGTCACTTTTGGTCTTGCCAGGGGTTAGAATGTTATCTAAATAGCAATGTATCTCTGTTAATCTCGTCAGTATCTGGACCATAGCCCCTTGGAACCAAGCAGAGGCCAGTTTTATTTCAAAAGATGAATAGGGATATCAGTACAGTCACTTTTGTGTCACGATTGCAAGCAGTCTCTTAAGATTTGCCAGCATAATTAATTATGGCAAACTGTAGGCCAGTGTGGCTCAACTGACCTCCAGTCAAAAAGCAAAGAGATCTTCAGTGTGAAGAAGTGGATACAGTTCTGCAGACAACAGAATTTTAGATGCTTCGAAATCTCCAGAGATTCTGACACAGCTGGCATTTTTTAAAACATTCTGTTATGGTGGCAAGGGTAGTGTTATTATTTCTGTTGTTGTTATTTGTATTATTTCCAGTGCCTGAACCCAGTCAAGATTGGACCTCGCTGTGCCGGATGTCACATAAACCTGATGCAAAAAGCGATTTCAACACGTGTTAGCTGCTCAAGGTGAGGGAGATCCTAGGGTTCACCTAAACCAGGTAACATCTGTTAAAGCACAGCTTGCCCTGTCTACACAAGGTTTTCAAAATGTAGTTAAGAAGTATTAGCTCACACTTACAAAAAATTTGACAAAGTCTGAGGGTGTTACTTAATATACCCTGAATTTCACTAAGCAAAGCCCTTGGTGCAGCTGAGGGAGGAAGCAAAAATTACTCTTAGCCCACCTGGTCTTAAACTGATGTAAGTCGGCCTCCAATGTAACTTGCTGTTACATTTCCCTAGTTACCTTTTAGTCCTCTTTCCATTTCCAGTCATTAAGGCTACAGATTTGTTGTAGAGGTGTTGAAAATCATGAATTTGAAGAAATTCTTTGACCCGCATTTGGTCTTGGGGAATGTGATGCTGGCTTATGAGAGAGAATGGGGTCATTAACCACCCAAACACTAACTCCAGTGAGAAGTGCTGCACCTTGGAGAAAGACTTTAGCAAAGTAATTGTTTGGCTATTGAGGGCAAGCAGAAAAACATATTTAGTAGCTCTTCTGTGGATATTACTCCTCCCCCCCTCCCCCCAACACACATCTGCTGTGAAATTTACCTAAATTACCTTGATAAAATTAGCCTTGTCCATCATGCCTCCTCCCTGCTTCCAGCTGGCTTCAACAGGTGGTAAGAAGCTGTCTCCATACTGTAGGAATCTTTATCCACTCCACCATCTTTACAGAATCTCAAACTACTTCCCCATCTTTGTTTTATTTAGGGTACTGGAATCTGTCAATGCACACTAGTGATTTTGGAGCAAGTCATGACTCGGGAACTTGTCCAAACTTTGTGTGTTATAGTTTTGTTTCTGATCTGGTTGACTGCATGAAACTGCACTGCAGAATGTAAGTTTTATCTCTATTCATAGGTCAGAGACTGAGTTCATTCTTTCTTGCCATTCATTATTTGTCCAACTGAATGGCAATGTTCACCTTATTTTCATGGACAGTTATCTCTTCTTTACAACCACTATATTCCTCCATCTCAAAGTCTAGACCTCCCTTTTCCCTCCTGGGACTGCCTCTGCCCCTCTCTCTCTTCCCCCAGGATTGTGAAAGCCCTGCAAAATCAATTGGTTTTACTTTTCAGATCCTCCTGGGATAACAAGATTTGTCCTTTTAATCTGTAGTTTCTTTTTCTCGGAATGAACTGTCCACATTTTCCATGATGCTTTTTCTTTTGAGAAGGTACAATCCAAGTACCTTTCCACAATTTGTTTATTTTTGTAAGAAGAAAATAGTTCTGTTACTTTGTGAGTTTGCATTATTTTGGCTTGGTAAAATCTTACCCATTAGAGGCCTCCTGTGTATAGTGATGGACATACAGCTATGTCCCCTCAGCCCACATTCATATTGCTTTGCATTTCACTTTTCACCCTTTCTGAAACTGTCTTATATGTTCCTGCACCAGCAGCCTGTATCTAAGCAAGGCAGCTCCACTGCTGATGCGGCTCTGTTCAGAGAGACTGATGGGAAAAGGGGACTCTGATTGAACCAGTCTCTGATCCATTACTTCAGGCCACCCTGCAGGACAAGGTTGGTTTATCACACTCATGAGCAGCAAGTTTGTCTCCTAGGTGTCAGGACCCTTTTAGTTACTACACCAGAGTTCTTGTACTACTGCTAGCTAAGTGGTCCCTTCAGCCATATTTTTGGAAAGGGAAGAGGAGAAGGTATGCTCTAGGCAGGGTAAGGGAAGAACAAAAGTTATGAAAGTATGCTCTAGGCAGGGGATTGTCCTAGAAGAGTCTGATTCTTCTTAGAGACTAATGCTGCATACCCAGAGTATTTAATTCTGATTTCATCAAAGTTATAAATGACATAAATTCTTCTCTCCTATTAAGATGGACAGGGATAAGACAGCCCATGTCCTCCTCTTCCTTCCTTTTTCTGAATCTTTGTGTGACACTGTTCTCCTCTGACTTATGATGCTGCTATGACACCTAGTGGCCAGTACAGGGAATGGCCCCTGTGTATGGAGTAAAACACTTTGGCCCAGCTCCAGCAGCAAGTCTGTGCCTTCAAAATTAGCAAAAAAGTTAGACTTTCCATTTTGGCTATCAGTTATTGTTAGTCACTTAGTGTATCACCTAAGCCAGGGTGGGCAATTATTTTGGGTGGAGGGCCACTTACCGAGTTTTGCCAAGCTGTTGAGGGCTGCATGGATAGCCCTGCCCCTTGACAGGTGCCCTGCCCCCTGGTTACCACCGTGGGGCCGGAAGTCCCACCCCCTTCACCTCTGACCTGTGCCACCAGAAGTCCCTCCCTTTGCTCCTGGAAGTACTCCTTTGGGGAAGAGGGTTTGCCGTCTTAGGGGGGAAAACTATATACTAAAAATCAAACACCCATAATAATATATTTTAATTTAATTAAAAAAATATATTTTTGAACTGATTTGTGTGTGTTTGTGCTTTTCCCCTGTGCTCAGCTGCAGTTTGTTTATCACCACAGCTGCCAGCCTGGGCCCCGTGGCGGCTCCGGGCTTACCCGATGGGCTGAGTGGCCGCGGTGCTGGGGCATGAACTGCTGTTGGGGTGGGGGAAAAGCAGATGCCCCCCCTCCTGCCACTGGTGCTCCCTGTGGCAGCGGCTTGGAGCCCATGCAGGGCTGCCTGTGCCCACTTTCCCTTACCACTACTGCCCCATGGGCAGTGGGGACGTGGCGGAGAGGCAGGTCAGCCCCGCATAGGCTCTGGGCACCTGCTGCAGGGAGCGATGGCAGCAGGAGGGGAAGGCGCCACTTTCCTTTTGCACTGAGCAGCAGCTTGCTGCTGCTGCCAGGTGAGTGCAGGTCGCACAGGGCTAGGGCTGCTCGCAGTTGTCCCTGCCTGTGCCGTGGGGTGGGAGCGAGTGGGCATGCAGCAGCCAGTGGCAGCCGGGTGGGCGTACGGCACCCACACTGGTGCCCCAGGGCCAGCACTGGCAGGGCCCAGAGCAGGCGGCAGGAGCGCAGGGTCCCAGCTGCCTGGGGCTGTATGGAACCGGGCCAGCTCCCCTCTTTCCCTGCTAGCACGGTGCAACCTGGCTCCATAGACCCCTGCCAGCCCACGCTCCTGCCGCCCCACTC